GGGGTCTCACCAACAGGAACTGTAAGTGATGCTCTTCATTCGCTATTATTGCATGGATTCTTCATCACAGCCCTGCCAACTAGGCATTCCTACCCTAATTTAGCAATGAGAAAACTGAAGCGCCAAGAGATCAGCTAACTTTGCCTAGTCAGCTAAAAATAATAGCATGAAGGATACAAACTATGGGAAAAGCAGAAAGGTCAGCTTTACCACCTCTCCTCTCATTCAGGCTAGCTTTATATACGGGCCAAGGAACCCACACAGCAAAATATGAGAGAGTCTGGATAGACTACTTCCACTCCAAACACTTTTTTAAATGCTCAACCCAGCTGTTCCAGAAGTCATTTTGGCTCTTTAATTCTTTGAGATTCATGTAAGCATCTTAAAGTGGACAGTATCCAGGAAGAGAAACAACAAACTGAATTGCTAGCATGTAATCATACTTTAAATATTTATTAAGCACCATTTATTAAACAAATAGAATGAGATGATAACAGCTACTTATATTTGCTTAGCACTTTAGCTCTGCACAGCCTCACTGCAACCTGAAGTATTACACAAAACTGAGATTACGATCTCCATTTCATAGATGATGAAATTATGGCTCAAAGAATTTGAATGACTCATCTAAGGTGACACACTTGAGTCCCATTTCCAGATTCAAGGCTCAACCTTGGGTGTTCTGATCCCCAGTCTTGTGTTCTTTCCTTTATAATACATTAACTCAAGGGGTTTATAGGTGGGATACACAAGCCAAGAATGCATGAAGAATTAACTGATAATTCAAAAAAGTGTCTGCGATGTCAAGAAATGTTAAAGGTGCTGACTGCTGTGGACAGTAATTACAGAAGACAACATCAGGAAGATCACTCTTGGTTAAGAATCAACAGAGAGAGTCTCTAAGACCTAAGCCTGGCCCATGGGGAAAAGTTTAAAAAAGGACAACTTGGGGGCGGGGTGGTATTTCAGTAAAGAGAACAGAAACAATGAAAGTCCAAGGTAAGAAAGTGCAAGCATTGTCCAGAGAAAGAAAACAAGAGACCTATTTACCTAGAGAAATTTAGAAACATAGCTCAATTGCAAGACCGTGGGCTCTGTCCCAAGATACACACACACACACACACACACACACACACACACACACACACACACACACGCACACCAAACAAACAATCAAACACAAAAACCTAGAGAAGAGACATTTGTATTGAGGGAGGATAGAAGATTTATAAAACCTTCTTGAATTTCTGCCTAAATTATTTTCACTTGTAGACAATAAAAAATCATCAAAGACTTTGAGAGAAGTGTTGGACAGATTGAGCTGACAATATGCATTTGTGTAAAAGGAGGCAAGAGGTAAGGACTATCCAGAAACCTATGACATTCAGTCAGGAAGAACATGAAAAGAGCCAGTATTAGCATTGGGACCATAAAAGAAGGCCAATTACAACTGGCAAGAAAAGCAATGTCAGAACTTGGAGATAGGAAGAGAAAAGAATGAATTTTCCCAGAAGCTTTAGAGCCTAGGTAATTTAAGAAAGATGTCATGAATAGAAATGAGCAAGACGAGTAGGGGAACTGGTTCAGGTGGTTTCGTTTTGTATATTATGGGTTAGAAGCAGTGGAAGATCTAAGTGAACCTATCCAATAGGCAATTGAGGTTTAGAGGGACAAAGGTCTGTCCTAACACCAAGCTGGCATGGGAGAATGAAAGGAGTCGTGGGAACCCAGTCCAGGGTCTAGTTTCTTCCTGCCATTGTGTAGAAAGTCACAGGCATGACACCTCACTGGGTCTGTTTCTTCAACTGGAAAATGAAGGGGAACCCAAGCCCTGTGTGACCTGTGAGGTTTTCTCAAGGACCAGAAGTCAACTAAATCAAATCATAGCCACCTGCTATTTGTTCTCTCCAAGAGGATCTCAACAGTCTGAGAAGCGAGAAAGGATTAGATAACCCCCACATGTTGAGAGTCAGACAAGAAGATGACAGCAAAGAGAGAAGTAATGAAGGAAAAGCAGGAGGAAAGAGACTCTAAATCCAGGGAAGGGAATAAGGAAATAAAGCATTATAATAAATGAGTTAAATATGTCAAATATGACCAATGATAATACACATATTAAATAATTATCACATTTCAATAGAAGCTTACCACTAAAATAGCTGAAGAATGATGCGAATAATAAACCCAAGAGAAAGTGTTCAGTGCCATAAGGAGGCAAAGAAGTGAAATTAACAAATTGAATGTTTACCATCCAGAAAGATTTCCTATGAAGTCTGATGCTGGAACTGCAGTGGAACGAGGATAGCCGTATATCATTGTGACAGTAAAAATTTATGCAGTCATTTTGAAAAATCACAATCCATACAAACGTTCATGCTCTTTGGTCTGGTAATCTTACTCCTGAGAACTTGTACTAGACTTGACACAGAATTGCCAAGAAGAAAAAAAGCCACAAACAGGAAGATATTCAAAGCACAGAAAAATTGAGCTACCTAAATGTTCAATAGCAAGGGAGAGTCTAATAAGATATAATCTACCAATGGGAGTAGTTTTATATAGCTATTGAAATAATAAGCATGAAAGACTGCATCAACACGGGAAAGGAGAGAGTTTAAAATAAGAGAAGATTATACTTATTTGTTTTGAGATAGGGTCTCACTACATAGCCTAGATTGACTGTAAACTTATGACCCTCTTGCCTCTACTATCAACTCTTGGGATTATAGTCTATCATACCATAATACCCTAAAAACAGACTTTTATACACTGTGGTTACACTTCTACAGTACATGAATACAAATCAAGAAAACATGAAGTATGAAAAGTGAAAATAGGGGTTTGAAATAGGTGAATCTTTTCTCTCTACATCTCCTTCAGTGTTGTCACAGTGAGATCTTTTAAGTGTTATTTTTATGTTTTAAACAACTATAAAAGACATGCAACAGAGTAAAGTGGAGTAGAGAGGTCAAAGATGGATAAAAGTAATATATATGTATGTGTGTGTGTGTGTGTATTGGTGTGTGTGTGTGTGTGTGTGTGTGTGTGTCATTAAAATTCTTGCCAAAGATGTAATTTGTGATCTGAGAGCAGCAGAGCGGGAGGCAATGCAGTTCGGAGAGTTTGGAGCAATTCCGTGAGTAAGAGGGGTGTAGAGCTCTCTTCCTGGAACTGAGTAGAGACAAACAGAAGAGCAGCAAGATGAGATGGCAAGGTTAAGGTATGAGTGCTTATGGCTTTTTTAAATGATATAAAGTCAGTGTAAAGTATAAAATCAGTAATGGAAGTAACTAAAAAAGACAAAGAAAAATAAAGTCTTGGTGGCATACATCTTTAATCCCATCACTCAGAGAGGCAAAAAGGCAGGCGGATCTCTGAGTTCAAAGCCACCCAGATCTCTGTAGCTAGTTCTAGGCTAGATAGAGGTACATAGTAGCAGTCTGTAAAGTCCAGGAAGTTAGTCTTGACTAAGCAGCTTGGAGTTATGGAGCCTGACAATGGAGGAGCTTGAAGAGAATAATCTTAGGTAGGACAGGTGACAGGCAAGGGGGCTGTGGCCTTAGGAGTGGGAACCTGGCGAGAATTTAAAAAAAAAAAAGGTCAATAATTTACTACTAATAGAAAAACTCTTGTGTTCCAAGGGAGAGAATCCCTGTAAAGCCTGGAAAGGAGGGCAGAGGGGCATGAAGATTAAGCTGCCTTACTCTGCAGCCTAGCACCTCCCTCCCCTACTATCCAGAGACAGAGAACACGTAGAAGCCATTCAGAACTTGGTATCAGTAGATGAGCAGGAGACCAGAGAGGGCAGCAAAGGCTGGGGTCTGACTCAGAAGACCCATAGGCCCTAAGGTGATTTCCTAGGAAAAGAGGCTGAAAATAGATTTCCCTTCTCATGAAAGCCCGCCCAGAAACTCTTAACTCTCAGGCTCGGGATTGAGTTCCTCTGGCTCCGTACACCCACCAGGTCCAGAAACTCTTAACTCTCAGGCTCGGGATTGAGTTCCCCCAGCTCCGTACACCCACCAGGTCCTCCTAACTCATTAGGTGCTGTGGCAAGAGGACTGAACAGGTGCAAAACCGAGTGCCCCACCCTGGCCTTGAAATCCTACAGCCCGATTCCGAACGAGCTGGTGACAGGTTTATCCTTTATCTAACTAGAGCTAGAGAAAGGGGAGAGACCAGTTAAGAGCCAGTTCTGGGCGTCTATTCCTGTCACCGCCCTATCCTTTGCACAAACCTGCTCTGCCCATCAGTTCTAGAACTTGGAACCATGGACTCAAGAGGTCTTCTTCCCTCTCAGTCAGAGCTGTCCACTCTTCCTTTTATTAAACATATGGGAGCTACCAAATACATTCTCCACAGTCCCAGAGGTGGGTCTAGTCTCGTTCTTGTTCCCAAGGTTGCTGTCAACCTGGACTCTGCCTCCGGAAGCTCTACAGGGTCGCCCCTCAAGGGCTGTACTCTACCTCATGGCTGCTCAGCAGCTCAACAGCACCAAGCTCTAGCTACTGGTGGTGCTCTGCCAGGCAGGTTTGGAGGTCTTGTATACTATTTCAGCACCTTGGCAGGTAAGACCAGCTTGTCTTTGAGAGGGCGCCAGGAAGTGGGTGTGGATGCTATGTATGGCAAATATGTCATCTGTGATATGCTAGCACCCCAGCTTCCTGATGATGGCTTGTTCCATTATATACATCAGGCCAGTCTTGAGATCGCTCCACCCTTCACCCCTCTGGCTGAATTCTCTACTCTGATTGGAGAAAGGCATGCTGTGGAAGGGCCCGGGGAAGCAGAAAGGGCAAAGAGCACTGAGAAAGTTTTGTGGGTTCTAGAAATCGAATCAGGGGCCCCAGGAAAGGACAGAAAAGCAGAAAAAGTAGAGACAGAGGAGTAACTGCCCCAAAGGTGGACTAAAAAGAGGGCAGCCGCTCATCAGGTGTCAGTGACAGGCTCCCTTCCCTCCGTCCTGCAGTTACCGCCATTCCTTTCATAGCCTGTGTCCAGGGTTATAATCTGTCTCCCCCATAGGTAGGGAAGATGACGTCCTGGTGGGTGTCTGCCCACCTGCTGCTTTCCTCATGCAGGGTCACCAATGCCAGGGAGGAGGCCATAGTCCGAGGCTGGGGCCCCGTACCTCTGCATAGCCGCTGGAGCTGGCGTCGATACTTGTCCCCGGTGAACAGATAGAGCACTGGATCCAGACAGCTATTAGCACTGGCCAGGGGCCGGGTCACTTTGTAGACCACGTTGACTGTGTTCAGCACCTGGCAGTCAGCTTTCAATAGCCTTGCCAGGTAGTAAACTGTGCGGGTGATGTGGAACGGTACAAAGCAGACAGCAAAGACAGTCAGCACGACAGCAATGGTGCGGAGTGTGCGGAGCCGAGACGATGACTGTCCGGCTCCCGGCAAAGGGCGATACAGTCGTCGGGCCATGAGTCCGTAGCAGACCAGGGTGACCAAGAAGGGCAAGCCAAAGAGCAGCACCATGATTGCCGAACTGAAGTGTACATAGTGGTCAAACTCCTCAGGCCGGGTGGTGTCATGGCACAGGATGGTGGTCCCACTGGGGCTGGTTGTCACAAAGAACAGGTTGGGCACGAGGCAGCCAGCTACCACCAGCCACACAGCTAGGCAGAGAAGGCTTGCAAATCGCGGGCGGCCCCAGCGGAGCGCCCGCAGAGGGTGACAGATGCCCAGGTAGCGGTGCACGCTGATGCAGGTGAGGAAAAGGACACTGCAGTAGAGGTTCCAATAGAAGAGAAAGCGGACAAACTTGCAGAAGGCAGTGCCAAAGGGCCAGTGGTTTCGGGCAGCATAGTAGTACACGAGGGTGGGCAGTGACAGCACATACAAGGTGTCTGACAATGCCAAATGGAACATGTACGTGGCTGTTGCATCCCAGGGTCGAAGGCGGAAGAGGAACAGCCAGAGGGTTGGGGCATTGAGGGCTAGGCCCAGCACGAAGACAACTGCATAGCTCACAGGCAACAGGATGAACTTGAACTCCTCGTTAAAGGTACAGCGTCCATCTCCAGAACTTTGGCTGGGGCCTAAAGATGTAAATAGCAAGGATTCTGAACTGGTCATGGCCCCCTAGAGGTAGAAAGGACAGAAGTGAATGTCTGATTTCCCTAGTTTCCCAGTCCTGACCAACCTGCAACAAAAGAGGAAAAGCAACAAGGAGAGCGAGGAGGATCAGATCCAAGTGCAATCCAGGCCGGCCTAGCCCTTACCCAGCTCTTCCCCAGCTCCCTGAGCCCAGCCCCTACCCTGCTGCCTTAGCCCAGCCCCTACCCTGCTCCCTTAGCCCAGCCCCTACCCTGCTGCCTTAGTCCAGCCTCTACCCAGTTCCCTAAGCCCAGCCCCTACCCTGCTCCCTTAGCCCAGCCTCTACCCAGTTCCCTTAGCCCAGCCTCTACCCATTCCCTAAGCCCAGCCCCTACCCAGCTCCCTTAGCCCAGCCCCTACCCAGCTCCCTTAGTCTAGCCCCTACCCAGCTCCCTTAGTTCAACCCCTACCCAGCTCCCTTAGCCCAGCCCCTACCCAGCTCCCTTAGTCTAGCCCCTACCCAGCTCCCTTAGTTCAACCCCTACCCAGCTCCCGTAGCTCAGCTCCTACCCAGCTCCCTTAGTCCAGCCCAGGGACTGATGGGCATCAGGCAGTGCAGGGACTCGGACAGGCAATCAGTGGTGTTCTGCAGCTTCCTCTCCTGCAGAGCCTGGCTAGCTGAAGAGGGTGGAGGCTGACCAGCAACATCTAAAGGGAAGATACCCAGGCTCGAAATATCATCTAACTCCCCATCAAAGCTCTGCCCTAGTGACTGAGGGACTCTCTCCCTCTCCTCTCACCCTGGTCCTAGTTCTCTGTACTCTTATTTCCCTCTGAAGCCACCCCACTTCACACCTGCTTCCAGCCCAGCGGCACTACCTCCACCACCCTTGCCTTAGCAAAACTCCTACCCAGTGCCCTTGAAGCTGAGCCCAGCTGACTCTGACACCCTCCCTCTTGGCAGCCAGAGGGCATATTCTTGGGGGTGGGACTCGGGGTGGCGCTTATCCCTCCTCCTGTCCCATCCCAGCAGATTGTCAGAGCTAGAAAAGCTCTTGGAGGTTATCTAGTCCAACCCACTCAGCATGCAGATTGGGAAACTGGGACCCAGTGAGATTACTATTTAACAGCTTCAAAATGATTGTGTACACAAGGAGACATCCACGTTTACAGATAAAGAGCCAGGCCACTGAAGATAATTAAATTACAGGAAGATCATATAAGTTTATGGGCATAGAGACATGGGAAATGAATTTTAACATGGACAACAGCGAGTCAACACACTGAAGGACTTTTGAAAATGTAAACTACTGATAACCATCTCTACTCTGCATGCATTTAATTACAGCAAATGTTTATCTAGTCCTTACTCCGTGCTAGGCACTGCTCTAAGGACTTTATACCCATTGATGATTCTACAGGCTCTCTATCAAATAGGTTTTATTACTGCCTCTACTTTATTGATGAGAAAATTAAGATACAGATAGTTTGAGTATTTTGATAATTAATGGTAAGATCAAGATTTGCCAAACTCTAACATCCATAACTTGATGAGCATGATAACTTGATCCTCCATGCTACTGGATCAGACCTGGAAAAGGGTCAACAAACATTTCACAAGAACTTTCAGTTCTAGATCCTGGTAGCTTGCTATGAGTGAACCAAACAGATTAAAAATTGACAGCTTGGGCTGGAAAGATGGCTCAGCGGTTAAGAGCACTGACTACTCTTCTAGAGGTCCCAGGTTCAACTCCCAGAATCCACATGGCAGCTCACAGCTGTCTGTAACTCCTTTCCAGAGGACCCAATACCCTCACACAGATGTACGTGAAGGCAAAACATCAATGCACACAAAATAAAAATTAAAAATCTGAGCCGGGCGGTGGTGGCGCACGCCTTTAATCCCAGCACTCGGGAGGCAGAGGCAGAGGCAGGCGGATCTCTGTGTGTTCGAGACCAGCCTGGTCTACAAGAGCTAGTTCCAGGACAGGCTCCAAAACCACAGAGAAACCCTGTCTCGAAAAACCAAAAAAAAAAAAAAAAAAAAAAAAATCTGTCAGCTTAAGAGGCGTTACATAATATTGGAGGTAATAATAAATCAACAAAACATAAAGAGTATGATCATTGTTATAGAGAAAAATGAAGGCAATAAGGAAGAATTTGCTGTTTTGAATACTGGAGTGACTTGAATAAAGACCAGGTATTTTGAGGAAGAAGAACGGAATATGAAGTCAGAGTATTTGAGAGGGACCAGGTCTTGAAGGCTCTTGTGAGCCAGTGTAGGGCCTTTAGCCTGTGAAAGACAGCCACAGAAGCTTTGGAGAGGAGTGCCATGGTCTGATCTGCTCTCCAGAAAGCTCTGTGCTGAGACAAACAGCATGGGAAGCAGCACAGGAAGAGGAATCAAGAGTGACTCCAACACATGCCAGTAATGGCACTAGCTGAGACTGGGATGATTGCTCCAAGTTCAAAGCCAGCCTGGGTCACACACTAAGACTCTGTCAAAAAGAACTAATTCCAGGCTTCTTGCCTGGGCAACTAGAAGAAGGGAACTTCTGTAAACAGGCCCAGGAAAGGCTACAAGAAAGAACATTTGGGGAAAGAAAGGAAGTTCATTTTCCAGCATATATGTTTTAAGATGCCTATGACACATGTAAGAACAGATGGCCAGGAAGCAGTTCATATCTCCATGTGGATGCTAGCCAATGAGCTTCCCTTACACCTCCCACCCCTTCCTACACAGCTCCTTGTCTCTTTCCATCACCCCAGGAGAACCTGGTCTTAATACAGTAGAAAAGGCATGCGGGGCAAGTTTCCATTATTAAAAACCTAATGACAGTGAACAGTTGACAGCAACTGTGGCTCTGAGGCTTCAGGAACTTAATCTGGCTTCCTAAGTACCACTGTCTCTAGCATGCCAGGCAAATTGGGTCTGGAGGATGCTGTGGGTAAGGTGAGCAGTACTTGTTGGGAGGGATGAGCAGGCTGGAGCAGAATCTTCAAGTGGAGCTTAGAAGCAATCAAGACTCAGAACCTGATCCTCAGGTCCCAGGAATGTGACCTAACTGCATCCTGGAAGAGAGAGGAGGAGGTGGGCCTGAAAAGGACGCTCTAGAAGCCAGAAGCTGGATCTCTTGGAAGACCTACAGCTCTGGATGTGGGAGGAACCTGGAGACCCTGTCCTGTTTCAGGCACAACCTGAGTCCTGGGCTACTGACTGTTGGGATGTGATATAAAAAACCCAAATGTCTGCCTGGAGCCAGGCTATCTTGAATTCAAATCCTTGTTCTGTTTATTAGCTGTATAAACCTGGGCACCTATTTCTAGTTTCCTCAGCAGTGAAATGGGGGCAGTAAAACATAGGTATCAGAATATGAATTGCTCAATAGGCGTTCAAACACTTGTAAGTCATAAAATGCTGCAAGTCTGTTATATGTTCTTCACATTATTCTGTTCCCAGGGATAAATTTGACCTCTTCATGGGAGGTGAAGTATGTCTTGAGACTTGGTGTAGACTCTAGTCATGGAGAAGTGCCACGTTAGAAAAGATCTGGCTGCAGTGACCCATAGCCAAGCACTGGGCTGAGCCCCTGGAGCTTAGCTGAAGAGAGGGAGGAGGGATCATAAGAGCAAGGGAATGTCAAGATCATGATGTCACAGAGACAGCTGACCAGAGCTAGTGGGAGCTCGCTGACTCTGGACTGACAGTTGGGGATCCTGCATGGGACAGAACTTAGCCCTCTGAATGTGGGTGACAATTTTATGGCTTGATCTGTTGCTGGGGGAGAGGGGGAAAGTGGGGTGGCAGTGGGACCAGGACTTATTCCCAGTGCATGAACCGGCTTTTTGGAGTCCATTTCCTATGGAGGGATACCTTGCTCAGTCTTGATATGGGGGGGGGGGGCGGCTTGGCCCTGTCTCAACTTGATATGCCAGGCTTTGTTGAGTCCTCAAGG